CAGAAAGGAGTTTACAAAAGTCTGGTTGCTGCCATTATTATTCAGTGGTTCTGGGCCTGAGTAGGCTTGCAGGCCTGATGCAGTCCAGAGGCAGGTGGCTGGCCAGCTTTGTGAGAAGTCCCCCCACTCACTCCTGCAGACTCTGGAGGACAGGGTGCAAGTTTGAATGGTGGATTCCTACGTGCCCATCACAGTGATGCCCCTTGGGGAATCCCCAGGATGAGTGAAGGTGACCCAGACTTCACTCAGGGTATGGGGGGAACCCTGAAGTTTAGTCTGGAACCCTCAGAAAGATGGCTCATCAGTCCCAACTAAAGAATGCAGTTCTGGACTGATTCTCCCACCTTCCCTGAGAGTCACACAGGCTGGATATTGCTTACGGAGGGGGGCAGGGTGGAGTAGAATTTGAGGCTAAGGCAAAGGGTAGCTGTCCCACAGGAGGAGTGAAGTCAAAACAAACAGGGACAAACCACCACATCAGGACAGTCAGACCCAACCCTAGAGACTGCCAAAGGCTGGACAGGACAACTTAGGGTCAATGTCCTCTACCCCTCCCCATCCCCCAATCCCAACCAACTACATTGCACATTCAGGAAGTCTGAAGAGAGAAGGGCTCAGCAGGGCCCCAGAGGGTACAAGATGCTGCCCACACCAGGGGGTGCAGGGGGCATAAAGGGCTATAAACCTGTTTGTGAGGAACATGAGGCAGGGAAGAGCCTCAGGCAATTGGGCCAGAAGCTCTGGAAGCCCAAGACAGGGCCCCAGAGGGTACAAGATGCTGCCCACACCAGGGGGTGCAGGGGGCATAAAGGGCTATGAACCTGTTTGTGAGGAACATGAGGCAGGGAAGAGCCTCAGGCAATTGGGCCAGAAGCTCTGGAAGCCCAAGATCTCCCCAGAGTGATCTGAGAAACAGAGCTGTCCACTCACCCAGACTGCAGCTGGCCTAAAGAGGAGACCATGGGAGGCTTATCCCAGCCTGGCCAGGAAGGGCAGGACTGTGCAGACTACAGGCTGTGTCTGTGGAGCCAAATCCAAGCCAGGCCTGCTGGGGGAGGAGTGGCATCCCAGGACCCTGGCAGAAAACGCCAGCTGGGGTCGGCCCAGGTCAGTGATCCCAAGTGTGTAGGGGAGTGTGTGTGTGTATAGGGGGAAGAGAACTTCAGTCCCATTGCTTCCCGAGAGACAGAAGAATCCTACCAAACCACCACCAGAAAAAGAAAGATAGCTTTTTTTTTTTCCTCCTGTAAAAAATGTCCCTGTCCCTTCCTCCCTTTCCAGGGAGAGCTGGTTGCTGAAGGAGGAGGAAGAGCCCTGGCAAGACCCTCACCAAGTCTGTGCTGGGCATAACCACCGTATAAGGCACCCCTGGAAAGTGCAGCTCGGAAGGCAGACGAGAGAAAAGGCTGGGGTAGAGGGAAGAGAGAATCAGGAGGACTAATTCCCCTGGAAGGCTCCTTGGGCAGCAGATGAGGCAGCACTGCGGAAGGTTCTGTTGCTGAAGATGCCCTGGGAAAACTCCTCCTGGGCCTGCTGAAAGCTGGCCCCTGTCCGGCGGTATAGGGAATGCACCTGGGGAAGGAGATTAGGGTGAGAGGAGCCCACCAGGAACCTCACCATCCAGGTTATTATATTCCCAAAGGGGCTACCAGGAATCCAACCCTGCCTGACCGTGCCCTCCACCCCCAGCTTTGGAGAAAGGCACTGGACCTTGGGGGCCCAGGAGGCCCAACTGCAGTGGTAAACATCTCGTGGCAAAGGAAGGAGACAGGTGCTTGCTTCCTCAGCTTTGCTGTTGGCCCAGCCCCCACTACTTACCCGCTTCAGGAGGAAGAGTGAGAGCACAGCACAGAGGGTAAAGAAAGCAGCCACCACCATCATGATGATTGACACGGCCAAGGACTCTTGCCCCAGTGTAGACAGGGCTGCAATCCAACCACTATAAAGGCAAGAAGAGGCCAGAGGAGGCAAAGTTGCAGTGGGCCCCAGGAGTCCCTGAGGGGCTCTTCTCCAAGTGGCTGCTGTGTCCTGACCACCACTTTAGCATCTCCCTGAGCACAGGGAGCCCTGTGGGCCAGAACCTCTGGGCCTGTGAGAGGCCAAGCCTCTGTGAAGGCTGACTTCTCCAGCTGGTCCTCCCCTGGGGCCTCAGAAATTGATTCACATGGGGAATCTTCTGGCCATGTGAGGTCTCAAAGGGAAGACATGGCCGGTGCCCTCAGAGCATCAGGAGTAGCTCTGGGCTGGGCCTCTTCCTGCTGCTTCAGGGGTTGGGGGCATGGAAAGCCTAGCTGCTCACTCCTTAGGTCCTGCCCTCTGGGAAGGAGGACCACTGGCTAACCCATTGTGTTCATCCTGTCACCTCCCTGAGCCCCAGTGTCCTCATCTGTAAAAGGGATATCCTTACACTTCTTGACTTCAAAACTTACTATAAAGCTACAACAATCAAAACAGTGTGGGTCTGGCATAAGGATAGACATATAGATCAATGGATCAATAGATCAATGAAACAGAATTGGTTGATTTTTTTTTTTTTGGCAGCTGGCCAGTAAGGGGGATCCAAACCCTTGACTTTGATGTTATAACACCATACTCTAACCAACTGAGCTAACCAGCTAGCCCAATTTTTGATAAAGTTGTCAAAAGGGAAAGAATAGTCTCTTCCATGAATGGGACTGGGAAAATTGGATATCCACATGCAAGACAATGAAGTTGAATCTTTACTTCCACCATATGCAAAAATTAAAATGAATCAAAAAACCTATTAAGAGCTAAAACTATAAAACTCTTAGAAGAAAACAGAGGTGACTTCATGACCTTAGATTTGGCAATGGTTTCTTATATATCACATCAAAAGCACAAGCAACAAAAGAAAAAGATAAATTGGACTAAATCAAAATTTAAAACTTTGTCTATCAAAGGACACTATTAAGAGAGTGAAAAACAACACATAGAACGGAAAAAAATACTGGTAAGTTACATATTTGATAAGGGCCAAGTATCCAGAATATATAAAGAACTCTTACAACTCAACAACAAAAAGACAACCCAGTCCAGGGTTCAGTCCCTGTACTGACTAGCCACCAAAAAAAAAAAAGGGCTGGCCAGTTAGCTCAACTGGTTAGAGCATGGTTGATGTTGGTAACACCAAGGTCAGGGGTTCAGATTCCCATACAGGCCAGCTGCCAGGAAGAAAAAAAAAGACAACCCAATCAATAAATTAGTAATAGACTTAAACAGACATTTCTCCAAAGAAGATATACAAAAGGTCAACAGCACATAAAAGATGTTCAACATCATTAGTCATTCAGGAAATGCAAATCAGAACTACAGTGAAATACTACATCTTTAAGTTGGCTATAATTAAAAAAAAAAAAAGGAAAACAACAGATGTTGGTGCTATATAAGTCTAAATGTGTTCTCCAAAAAGCACGTGTAAATGCTATGGTTTGAATATGCTGGAAATTTAATCCCCAATGCAACGATGTAGGAGGTGGGGTCTAATGGGAGGTGTTTAGGTTATGAGGGCATCACCGTCATGAATGGATTAATATCATTTACAGAAGGGCTTGAGGCTGCAAGTTCAATCTCTTGTTCTCTCTCACCATATGAAGCCCCTCAATTTTGGACTTCCCAGCTTCCAGAACCATGAGCCAAATGGTTTACAAATTACCCAGTGTGTGGTATTCTGTTATAGCAGCACAAAACAGACTAAGACAGTTGGTGAGGACAGGGAGAAACTGCAACCCTCATGCACCGCTGGTGGGAATATAAAATGGTGCAGCCACTGTGGGTAACAGTTTGGCAGTTCCTCATTAAGTTAAACATAGAATTATCACGTAACACAACAATGATACTCCTAGGTAGATAACCAAAAGAAATGAAAACATACTCAAACAAAAACTCACACACAAATGTTCACAGCAGCACTATTCACAAAAGCAAAAAGGTAGAAACATCCCAAATGTCCATCAACTGAGGAATGGATAATCAAAATGCTGTATATCTATATAATGGAATATTATTCAGCTATAAAAATAAATGAAGTACTGATACATACTATAACATGGATGAACCTTGAAAACATGATGTTAAGTGAAGAAATCCAGACACAAAAGGCCACGTATTGTATGATTCCATTTATATGAAATGTCCAGAATAGGCAAATCCACAAAGATAGAAAGCAAATTAATGGTTGCCAGGGCTTAGGGAAGGAGGGAATGAGGAGTGACTGCTAATGGGGATAGAGTTTCCTATGGGGGAGAGGAAAATACTTTGGAACTAGTTAGTGGTGACTGCACTACACTGTGAATGTACCAAATGCTAGAAAACTGCATGGTTTCAAATGATGTCAGTGGTAAATGAAATGGTAAATTTTACGTTATGTTTATTTTACAGTTGATAACAAAAGGGGGGGAATTATACCCATTCACCATGGGTATTGTGAGGTGTGATGAGAAAATGGTCATGGAAGGGCTTTGCAAAGGCACAAGGAGGCTGGAGGCTGCAGAGCTCATCTCGGTAGAGCCAGGCAGGGCAGTGAGGGAGAGCCAGGGCTCAAGCCTTCTGATTCCCGGTTCAGGGTACAAACAGCAGTTATTAATCACAGACTTTCTACCAGGATCTCGCTTTGGGTAATGAGTAATGAAACTGGGTCACTGGTGAAAAGGGGCCAGATTAAAAACAGCAGGGCAAGAAGGAAGAGCAACAGTGGGAGTGCAAAGAGAGTCAGCCCTCTCCCCAATGCCCTAGACTTGCCAGCTACACCAGAGGGAGGGGACCAAAATAGTGCAACCCTTCCATCCAGCCTCAGGCACTCAGCCAAGTGCCAGCCTGACCTTTCTGCAATGCTCCCTGTGCACTGGGACAGAAAGAAAACATCAGCCAGCAGCTTCTCAAGACTAATTCTCAGCTGAGGACTGAGGTGCCCAGGAAACTCAAGCCAGCCATATATGCTCAAAGAGGGCAGCAAAAAGCAGCCTGTGCAGGGGAGGTGAGGCACCTGTCTTCTCAGTTACAAAGCCTCTGGAAAAAGCCACAGCTCAGGCTCTGCAAAGGCCAGTGCATCCATCAGCCGCCAGGAGGGCATGGTGAGAGAAAAGGAAGAGGCGGCAATCCAGTGCAGGACACAGCTCTGGTAACCTAAAGATTCAAGCCAAGTTCACCCACAACACTCTAGAAAGCGGAGAGTAAGGAAAGACAGCAAGTAGCTGTGGTGATGAACTGGAGAGGGGGTCCAAGGCAGATCCAAGTTGCCCCCCGCACCACGGTAGAAGTGAGGTAATCTGCAGGGCTCTCTGGGGTTGTGAAACAGGGCAAGAGAGGCTGAGCCCCACATCCAAAGCCTAATTTCCTCTGTGATGCGCCAGGTCTCACCTGTTCCCCAGGTTAGGGAGGCCAATCAACTGGATGACGTAGATCCCTATTTGACAAAAAAATACAAAGAAGAACACGAAGAAGCTGAAAGAGTTGTCTGACCTGTGGAGACAGAGGGAAATAAAAAGTCACAAGAGGACTCGAGCCGTGTTCCTCAGCATTCCTTACTTGGCATGACATCTCTCCTCACTAGGAGCCAGGAGGCAGGATGTGCAAGTAGACAGAGCTCCAGGGGACCAGCCATATGGTCCATAAGGTCATCTACACACAGACATCCACCACCATAATCCAAGAGCTGATAAAGCTGCTCCCCACAAAGGACAATATAAAGAGCCTAACATTCCATCTCCTGCAGTACTTACTTGCACTTCATAACAGGAAAGGAGCTAGCTGGTTAGCTCAGTTGGTGAGAGCGTGGCCTTATAACACCAAGGTCAGGTGTTCTGATCTCCCACCGGCCAACCACCAGAGAAAAAAAAACCAGGCAAGAAAATCTATGCCAAAGGCATAAATCCCCAACAATAAAACTGTAGGCCTAGGTGGAAAAAATTGGCCTTATAACACCAAGGTCAGGTGTTCTGATCTCCCACCGGCCAACCACCAGAGAAAAAATAACCAGGCAAGAACATCTATGCCAAAGGCATAAATCCCCAACAATAAAACTGTAGGCCTAGGTGGAAAAAATAGTATTTGGGGAGCAAGGAACACCAGACAAAACTGCTCAAGACAAAAACCCTGCACCTGTGTGTCCTTGAGGGCTAGAATACAGTAATGGTTCAGCTGCTGCCCCAGCCCCTCCTCCCAGGGCCTGCTGGGCTCCCAGCCCTGAAAGCATTAACCCTGAGGTATAATTCCAAAACCCCTAGGGGTCTGTGAGGTATATCCATTAATGTTCACAGTACCTCGTCTAGGTACTGGCTGTCAGCAGATGCTCAGGAGTTACCAGGGAGCATAAGCAAGCGTGGAGAGATAAGCCATTGAAAGCACCTGTCTGATACTATTAGAGAAGCACCCTTTGAGCCTCAGAAGGGAGGTCCTACAGAGGGTCCCCTTCTTCTTCCCAGTGACTGACATACCACTGCACCAGTCAGACTGGTAGCAGTGGGATGGCAGGTAAGGCTCCTGATGCCCTCTCTAGGTCTCCTGTCCTTAGTCCAAACACAGGACCCAAGCAGACCTCAGGCACAACAACTGTGGGAAATGGCTCCAGGTCCTTGGCTGCTCTGGTTATGGGTAGCAACAGGAAGTGAATTTCCCCACTATTCTATTTTGCTCTAAGACTGGGATGGTGCCCAGGGCTATGGCCCTTAGCCTGCTACCTGGGATGCCAGCCCCAGCCCCATTTACCTAAAGGCCTTATAGATGGGTCGGTACCAACAAAGGAAGGCACAGGGGGTGAAGATCACAAACCACAGGATCGAGAGGCCGAAGTCCACTCCCTTGGAGGTGTTGCCTATGAACCAGGCCATGCAGGCAAGCAGGTTCAGAAACAGAGTCACTGAATGCACTGAAGAAGGGGAGAAGAGAGAGATATGGCTTGTGACACGGTGGCTGAAGAGCTCCCCAACATGCCAACTCCCCCCAGGAGAGGAAATGAGGTCCACGCTGTGAGGACAGCTGTGACACAGTACATGACCTCGGTCTGCACCTAGGCAGGGTTCACTTCCCAAATCCTGGTTTTGTAGGACCTCAAAACCAGGGACCAAACTAAGTTCCTGAGCGGTGATGGGGCAGCCCAGGTATGTGGGGGGTGAGGGTAGAGCGGGGATGCAGACCCAGGACTGATCCTTGGAGAATGAGGTCTTTCAGCAACTCTTTTCCCTGGCCCTGGATGGCCCCCAATGGAGCATCAGGGGAGTCTTTCTCCTCACCCCTAGGAGCCTAAGGGACTGAGGAGTGGGAAAGCCTTCACCTAAGGAGGACCTTTTAGTGCAATGAGCTCTGTAGGGCCCTGGAAGTCTCTAGCTAGCCCACCCTACCTGATCTGTGGTCTGGATTGCCCCTTTCCAGGAGGATCCCAGACAGGGAGCAGCCTGTGGGCAAGGAGCCTCCCCAGATCAGCCCAGGCACTGAGGAAGGCTGGAGTCTGCAGAAAATCTGTGCTCCAGGGAGGAGCAGCCAGAGCAAAGATGGGGCTGTCAAGTCACATCCACTGTACCCTTGAGTGCAGAGGGCAGGAGCAGGACTCACACATCCAGAGATAGTAGAGCATCTTGCATATCCGCTGGTAGTCGGCAGGGATCTCTGTGGAGAAATCCTGATAGAAGAGCTTGACAGGGCACCGTGAGAGCAGGGATGGCCGGTTGTTCTCTCCCACTGTGTGCAAAGAGGTGACAAGGTAAGGGCTCAGCCTCAGAGGCAGCACTGAAGAGTACACATGCCAGCCCAGTTTATGGGCCAAAACAGGGCTTCTGGAGGGGTTCTAGCAAGCAGGGCCCAGGGTCTTCATGGAGCATGGAGTGGGGTGATGAGTAATGGGACCCAAAGAGACACCCACAAGCTCACTCCAAGATAATGGACCCAAATGCACTTGGAAATACAGAGAGCTATATGGCCTAAGTGATTATCTTTATCAACAACCAACCCATAAGCATGACAATCCAGGTCATCATCATGAGCAAGGGACTGTGGGACCAGTACCTTGTGCTATCAAAAAATCGAAGATTTTAGAACTGGGAAGGAGCGCACAAATAATCTACATCCATCAGGACTATATTGAAGATCTCCTGACTTCCAACTTAATTGCTCTCGCCCAGGAGCGGCATGCCCTTCAATCAAGATCTCTGCAAAGCTCCCAGCTGCCCCAGGAAGAAGGCGACTCAGTGAGTGCTGGAAGGGTCCTATGTGCAGGGGTCAGGACACTCTCCTGCCCCAGGCAGAGTGGCCCCAAGTCCCAGCAGCCTCCATTACCATGCAAATTGGCCACAGTGTTCTGCAGCTCCCGCTCCTTGCGATCCAGCTCAGCAGCTTTCCTATCCAGTTCTTCCTGCTGCCGGAGCAGGCCTGCCTGGGCTGCAGCTGCCACAGCCTGGAGAGAGCAGGGGACGGGGGGTGGGCAGCCAGACACAAGAGACAAAGGAATAGTGTCAGCCTGGGCAGGCAGCAGAGGGGCCTTGTCCCAGGCAGGAAGAGCCAGCAGAGAGTCCCAAAGGAAGTACCACTCCCACAGAGTGTCTTGGGTACCAGAGACCATCACAGAGAGGCCAAGGTGACCTGCTCCCACATCACCTCTGGCCCCTTAGCCATTACCAGGGCTGTCCTCTCCCCTCCTCCCTAACCTTGAGATAGGAAAACTATCCCCAGTGGCTTCCCCTTCTCTCCCCAACACTGGAATCCAGGCAGAGTTCAGTTGTAGTGACCTTTGGGGATAACAGCAAAGGGGAAAAGACCTCCCAAGAGACTGGCCTGTAGCCAGAAACCCAAGCCTCATTTGAAGAGCCTGGAGGATGTGTGTATGAAGAGAGAACGGTGCAGTGGAGAGGGGAGACACCTGAGGGCAGATTGTGTGTCCCCAGGCCTCGGGAATCTGTATTTAAACACTCTTCCTGCCATTCATCCCCCAGGAGCCACCTCCCAAGGTCCACCTGAACTGAGCTGATGGCCTGAACTGTGAGTGTCTACACCCAAGGACACTGCCTTAGGCATGGCCCTGCTCTGCTGGCTTTCATGGCATACAGAGTCCAAGCTTTATGTCCTCTCCAGGCACAGAAGAGCCTCTGAGTGTGGCAGCTGGGGGACTGTGTGAGCCTGATCAGAACTGGGCACAGGGCCTCAGCGTTCCCACCCAGACCCCGCTCCTGCTGGCTGCTGCTACTGTTAAAGCCAGCTTCCTCGTGAAGAATGAGACTACCATCTTTTTCAGGGAGCAGATATCAAACTGGTCATCTCGCAGGATGACAAACCAGGCAGACAGCTATATATGTACATACATACATACACAAACACTGCTCTCCAAAAGTTCTAAAAAGCCTCCTCTCCCCAAGTCTGTGACTTCAACTGAGCAGGACCCAGCTCCCTCCAACCCGCCACCCAGCTGAACATAAAATTCAGCCCTGCACGTAAGGCTTGCCTCCCCTGCATAGGCACGAGGGCCCTCCCTCTTGCTCATCTACACTTGGCCTACCTTTGGAAGCCTTTGCATGTAGCTGTCTCTGAGAATACTATCTCTTCCTAGTAGCATCTGCCTCTCTGAGAGCTCGCTCACTGCCAGGAATCGGGTAGGCAGGAACTTGCTGGCCTGTCTAAGCAGGAGCTGCAACACACAACTCTACTGTGGGTGTGCTCACAGGGCAGCGAGGGGAGTGCAGGGAGGGCAGTGAGGTGACAGAGTGGAGGGTCAGGCACAGAGCAGACAAGAGTCACAGTATTTGGGGAAGGGCTGAAGGAAAATAGGAAAGAAGACAGGAATAAATGAGGTTAAAAAAGAGAGAGAGAGAAAGAGATTCTGGGCCCCGAGAAAGACAGAACAAACCAAAGGCCCAAAAAGGACCTGGAGCGGCACAGCAAGAGCAAATGAAGACACCAAGCACTCCGGCCTGGGAGTAGAGCTTATTTTTTGGTGGTGGCAGTGTGGTGGGCGGGTGGGGATATCAGTTGGCAGAACAGCCCCTCCACTTGTAAGTGACTCACTCCAGAGAAATTAGGAAGAGAGCCCTTGAAGGGGAGCCAAGGATTAAGGCCCTCTGCCCGCTCTGGCCCCAGGGCTCAGCTACTGGTCTGGGTGATTCTCTCACTGGAGAGGAGAGGCCATAGGGTTTTTGTTAGCAGTACCTGGGGGGTTGGCTGGGTTGGTTCCACTGAGGGCTGGAGAACTGCCGGCTGCGAGGGCCCAGGGAGTTGTGTGACAGGAACTGTTGTCGCTGCATTTGTCTGCATGGGACAGATCAAAGGAGAGAAGTGAGTGGGCTCTATTACTGGCACACCCACAGCAGGGTGAGTGACACTCCTGCCTGGGAGGGGCACTCCCTCTGGGCCTGCCCTGGCCTTCCACTGCAGCTTCTTAACCAACAAGCCTCAGGCTCAGGGCAATCTCATCCCTAATCCAGCACCCCTGGCCTCGCAGGATCCACAGCTCTCCACACTGCCCTGGCCTCCTAAGGGAGGCCCAGATCATGGATCCCACAGGGAGAATTCCAGAAAGCCTGTGTCCCCCACTCACGAATTCATGTTAGGACTGTCCCTTTGAGAACTGTAGCTTCTCAGAGATGCTTCTGTCTCTGCCAAGGCTTCTTGCCCAAAGACCCCAGCACCACCCAGAGGACCACAGGACTCAGAAAGAGGGCACATTCACCAACCTCTGAGAAGGGGTTGAACTCGGCCAGGCCACCCTGAGGGGCACTGGTCAGCTGGGTCACAGAGGGATCCTGACAAAGTGAAAAAGAGGCATTAGACACTGGGGACAGGAGGGAACCCTGGTGATACCTGGCTGAAGTTAGGCTGCCCCAGGAAACCTCTCTTGAAGGCTCTTGTGCCCAATCCCTACCACACCGTAGCTGCAATCCCACCTCCCTTTTTGGAAAAGGTTCAGCCCAGCTGACTTCCGAGAGAGACCCAGAGCAAGCTTTACGCTGAGGCCTAAGACAGACACCACACACATTCCTGTCAGTGCCCATGTAGATGCAGAACGGTTCATCATATTTACCTCCAGGGAGGGGGGCTTTTTGGGGGCGGTGAATGGAGGGGTGGGGGTGGAAACTTTTCACTTTATAACTTTCTGTGCTGTTTTATTTATTATTATACAGAAATCATTTATTCCTCTTATTTTCTGAAGAACAAATTAAGGTTCTGATTTTATTAAATCAGGCTCACTTGCTAGGGGTAGAGACATGAAGGGCCCAGATGAAAATCGAGGAAAATGTTTTCAGTTTTTATTGTTTTCAAAAAATGCAAAAATGTCCTCAGAATGCAACCTTGTCCAAGTTTTCAATCCTCCCTTTCCCATCAAATCTCAGCACGGGGCTCCTGCCATTCTCTGGCTCAAGTAATCCCCTGGTGGCTTGGGTGGGTCTGTCCTCACCCTGTCCCTCCACTACACCCTCCCCTTCCCAGTAATAGGTGCAAGGCTCAGGTCCATGACCATGGCCACACCCCGACTCTGGAAGAAATAGCCAGGAAGGTGGCCAACCTGCCACCAACCTCTAGCCTTAGGGGCCTGGCCCCCATCTCCACAACTTGCCCCCGGCCCCTCCCTACTCGACCAAGATGCTCCCATCCTTCAGGCCCAGCCTCGTCTCCACCAGGAAGTCTCCACAGACCCAACTCTTAAACACAATGTTAACACTGGACAGACTCTCACAGAGCAACCCCCTCAATCTGTAGATGCAGAAAATGACACGTCATGGTGAAGTAACTTGTCCTAGGTCTCAAAATGGGAGCTCACTCCCTATTCTGAATATTTAGGAGCAGTCAGTACTGAATGTGCCTTCTGGCTTTTTCACAGATACTAACTCTATCTTCCTACCTGGGCCACCAGTTTCTAGAGGGTGAGACTGGGTCCAATCCCTCCCAGGGCCTAGCCCAGAGCTGGGCACAGCCCAAACTCACTGTGTCTCTGGACAGGGCTCATCTTATGCAGCCCCACCCGCCTCCAACCTCCTCTGCAACAGACTGTGGCTATGTCTCTTCTGCTCTGGTGGCTCCTTCAACTTGGACAAAGTGACAAGATGAGGTTTGGGGGGCCACCTCAAGCTGGAAAAACTGACCTTGAGTTTATTTCATGGCTAAATGACTAGTTGTTTTCTCCCAGAATTAACTGGCTTGCAGCAAGAAGATTTGGGGCTCAGTATCTGTTCCCCTTTCAGACTCAGCAGACACCTAGCCACAGCTGAGTGAGAGCTGAAGCCACTGAAATCAGATCACTCATCCGAGGAACGGGTTATGCAAGTCTGAGTCACCAGAGGACAGAGGGACAGAGGGGCAGCTCTGGTAGCAGTTTCAGGTGCTGGCACATACACACCTGGCTGAGGTGCATCTGTTTAACAGGCAACCTCCAGGCCCATGAAGAGATGCCACTTCCTTTACCAATGGCAGACAGAAGTGAATTCTGGGGTGGCATAGGGATGGTGTCTACCCTGATCCCTCCTCATATAAACAGATCCTGAATACAGCTGGCTGGTTAGCTCAGTTGGTTAGAGCATGTTGTTATAATACCAAGGTCAAGGGTTCAGATCCCCATACTGGCCAGCTGCCAAAAAAATAATGATAAACAAAATAAATAAGAAAACAGACCCTGTCTCCACTGGTAGTCTGGAAACCCTTTGCAGCCAGATGCATCTGTGTATACTTCATACTTCTAGCTCCCAATGCTTGGTGAAGGGCCGAGGCAGAGCAGTAGCTCAGCATATGCATGAGAAGAAATGCTGCACACTGGAGGGCCACTCCTTTCTCTAGGAAGCACTGCCCAAATGCTAGGCATGGAGGAAAGGGGGCACCTGCATCACAGCGGCAGCCCAAGGCTCAGAGCATCTTGCCTGGAAGAGGAATCCAGAATACTGAGACACACCTGAGGAAACCTGGGCTCTTCCTGAAAGATGTGGGTGGCTTTAAGAGAAGCAGAGGCCTGGGAGCAGAGGGAGAGGGAAAGAGGAGCAGAAGGAGCTGACATTTATGACTGTATACTATGTGCCAGACTCACCACACAATGATGCTATTATGAAATTCCAAACATCCCAGAACTGGCCACTGTGTCAAGCTGTCAGGAAAGAAGGTTCTACCAGCCTTCCTCAACCTGGTTCCTTGAGAGACATATGCCCCACTGTCCTAAGGAATTCCCTATCTATAATGACTCAGCTTCTCTGCATCTAGGATGGTAACAGTTGTAGTCCATCCTTGAGAGAACTGAAGAAACCGATCAGCTTCTGTGTTCTATGGCTCAGTTGTGGAACCCCGGCTGAGAAAAGCTATAACATATTTCCTCATTTAACCCTCACAACAACCCAAAGAGGGAAAAGTATTTATATTTTGCAACTGGAAAAGTCCAAGCTTGGAGACGAGAAGTAGTTCGTCTAAGATTTCAGGGGTAGGGCTTGCCGGTTAGCTCACTTGGCTAGAGCACTGTCCTGGGAACACCAAGGTCAAGAGTTTGGATCCCGGGGCCGGCCCGGTGGCGCACTGCTACAGTGCGCCACTTGGGAAGCGCGGCGGTGCTCCCA